TCTCGATAGCATCGCCGAAGCTGATGGCAAGTTTATAGGCACGGTCAAGCAGTGTGCGAAAACACAATCTAAGCATTTCGTGACGGTAAGATAAACGACCAGACGCTCCGCATGAAAGTTAGATACGGAGCCGAAGTGACAGTCGTCGGGAAAATTATCCTTTTCTTCCGCCTTCTCTGGAAACCCAGCCGATCTTAAAGGACCTAGCAATACTAGCATCCGTACAATCGGAAAGTTTGACGCTAAAATATCTTGGAAGACAGCCTGTTCACAACAAACCATTACGTCATGCAGAACTTGTGCACGCCCTTTTTGGGACTACCAGCCATAATAGCTCTGGGAATTGTTCGCTTCCTAGATGATGAGACACTGCTGACAATATCAGAGCAAGTATCCCAAGATATTCCCAAGGCACGGGTACCATATCGGAGAACACACCAGACTGTCCTTGTGCCACATGCAATCCGTACAGTCTGTCTACACCGCGACGGGTTCCTATTCCCATGAAAGAAAAAGTCAAAGAAGAACTGGACAGGCTAGAACGAGAAGGAATGATACAGAAGGTCGAAGAACCGACAGAATGGTGCGCGCCTATCGTTCCTGTAGTGAAGCCATCTGGAGCAGTAAGGATCTGCGTTGACTTAACTCAATTGAACCAGTTCATCAGACGAGAGCGTCATCAACTGCCAACAATTGAGCAAGCTATGGGAAGCTTCCAGGAAGCCAAAGTCTTCTCTAAACTAGACGCACATTCTGGTTTCTATCAGATTAGGCTTTCCGAGGAATGTCAAAAGCTCACGACGTTCATTACGCCGTACGGACGGTACTGCTACCGCAGGTTGCCGTTCGGGATTACATCCGCACCTGAAGTTTTTCGAAGAAAGTTCTCGCAAGTCCTAGAAGGCCTAGACGGCATACTGAACTACATGGATGACATTCTGGTGTACGGCAAGAACCAAGTGAAACACGACAAGCGGCTTTGTAACGTCCTCGAACGACTTCAACAAGCAGGCGTAACTCTCAACAGGGAAAAGTGTTGTTTCTCAGTTAAACAGGTCGCATTCTTGGGGATGATCTTCGATGCCAATGGCGTGCGTCCAGACCCCGAGAAAATTAGAGCAATCAAGCAATTGCCCAGACCCCAAAACGTTGCTGAGGTTCGATCCTTGTTAGGTATGATGAACCATCTCGCAAGGTTTTTATCTGATGCAGCTTCAATGTCTGCTCCTTTACGCAGCCTTCTCAACAAGGACAGCGACTGGTTTTGGGGACCTCAACAAGAGACAGCTTTTGAGAAGATCAAGACCACTCTCAGCTCAGACAGATGCCTGTGAGGTACAACCCCCGGTACTCGACAATTGTATCGGCGGAAGCGGTCTCCATTAGGGGTTGGCGCAATACTCCTCCAGATCAGCCATCTGGTGAGAGACGTCCTGTGTGCATATGCTTCCAGATCGCAGCACAAAAACGAGCAGAGGTATTCACAGATCGAAAAAGAAGCATTAGCTTAACTTGGGCTGCGGAACACTTCGACAAATTCCTAAGAGGCCTCCGTTCCTATTTGAGAGGATCACAAGGTGCGATTCTGCGTTGAATACTGCGCATTAAACAAAGTAACCAAAAGACGTATATCCTTGCCTCACACTGATGATGCTTTAGATCCTTACAAGGAGCGGAATATTTTTCGAGCCTTGACCTGCGCTCCTGTATTGGCAAATTCCAATGCACGAGGATGACAAGGAAAAAACTGCCTTTGCCACACCCGATGGGCTTTACGAATTTAACGTCATGCCTTTCGGCCTCTGCAATGCGCCAGAACATTTGAAACACTGATAGACACTGTATTGCGGGGCTTTAAGTGGAAAACATGCTTATGTTACCTTGGACGACATCGTCATATTTTCTTCAACATTCGAACCAGCCCTTGCCTGGATGAAGTTCTGACGTGTCTCACAGCTGCTGGTCTTCAGCTCAACACCAAGAAGGGCCACTTTGCAAGCAAAAGTATTAAAGTACTCGGACATCTCGTCAGCAAAGATGGAGTCCGGCCTGATCCCGACAAGATTACCGCCGTTCTTCACTTCCCGGTGCCTCAACGCGTCAAAGAGCTCCGAAGCTTTCTTGGCCTTGCATCGTACTTCCGGCGCTTTATACGAGACTTCGCCACCATTGCTGCGCCACTTCACCAACTCCTTTTTTCGTGAGCATTATAGGTGTGGTCGAACGAAATGCCAAATGGCTTTTGACACCTTGAAACGTCGCCCTCACGTCTGAGGCCAGTGCTTTGTCATTTCAATAACGCCGCACCCACTCTCCTCTCCATTACTGATGCCAGCGGACAACGGACTCGGCGCTGTACTTCTTGCAACGAACAGAGCGTTATGACGAACGTGTGATCGCCTATGCAAGTCGCACCCTTACAGCAGCAGAGAAAAACTACACCATCACCGAGCAGGAATGTCTTGCCGTTGTCTGGGCCATCCAGAAGTTTCGACCATATTTTCACAGCCGCCACTTTAGTGTCGTCACTGACCACCATGCTTTGTGCTGGCTGTCGACGTTGAAGAATTTGTCTGGACGTCTCGGTCGCTGGATACTTCGTCTCCAAGAATACGAGTTTGACGTTATCTACAAATCCGGCAAGAAACACAACGATGCCGATGCCCTTAGCCGCTGTCCTTTACAATCCTCATCAGGCACTCCTGGCCTGTCGCCAACTGTGAGTGAACCCATCAAAGTGTCTACGTCAGTTCATTCACTCGCCGCTGTCGATTTTCTTTCTACCTTCAACAACGACACGTTTGCATCCCACCAACGCAGCGACACTTACTGTCGCTCTATAATGCAGCGTCTTCAAGGCTCCTCTCGTCCTCCCAATGCTCGCGCCCATCGACAGCTGCAGAACTTCAAGGCTGAAAACTCAATCTTTTACCGCTTTGTCTTCCACCCCGAAGGACAGCACTGGGTTTCTGTTGCTCCTCGTTCCTTAAGGGCGCAGATTTTGGAGGCGTTTCACGATGACCCCAAGGCTGGTCATCTCGGTTTTCAAAAAACCTATGAACACATCCGTAGTCGTTTCGCCTGGCCTGGCCTTTCCAACTGCGTAGCGCGATATGTTGCGTCATGCTCGCTATGCCAACGCCGCAAGCGACCCACTTCTTCCCCGGCCGGTTTTCTACAACCTCTTCCGTGTCCTGACCCTCCCTTCGATGTCTTTGGCTTGACCTCTACGAACCACTACCAATATCAGCTAGCGGCAAGCGCTGGATTGTCAGAGCAGTTGACAACTTGACAAGGTATGTTAAAACAGCTGCACTTCCTTCAGGATCAGCAGAGGGCAGTGCCACATTTTTTCTGTAGGCAATCTTCCTGAGAGATGGTGCGCCATGCATCTTTTTCAGCGACCGCGGCAAGGCGTTTCTCTCGAAACTACTCGAACAAATCCTCCACGCATGTAATACGATTCATAAGACGACATCCAGCTACCATCCCCACACTAACGGCCTCACAGAGCGCTTCCATCGAACTTTGACCGATATGATATCTATGTATATCAACGCCGACCACACCAACTGGGATACCATCCTGCCATTCGTGACTTTTGCGTACAATACCGTTACGCAGCGCACCACGGGCTATTCCCCATTCTTTCTCGTCTATGGCCGTCAACCAACATCTCGACTCGACATCTCCTTTTTTGACACGTTCTTCACATATGTAATACAATTCATAAGACGACTTCCATCTACCATCCCAAGACTAACTGCCTCAAAGAGTCCTTTCATCGAACTTGACCGATATGATATTGTCACAAGTATAGAAAGATACCTCAGGCATGGGTGCAGGAATGACGCAAAAGGAATGAAGACGACGATGTTATTGTGGGGCTATGTCTGAACTGCCCTCGTGTCCTGTATCCTTGCATACTGTGTGCAGTGTTAGCCCACCCGGCATTCACTTATTAATACTCCCCGTTACATATTTTTGGTGGAAGTGCTGGGCAACATTCCGCCTCTGGATCTCCGTAGCGAACGTCAGCTTCGTCCAGCCACGATGCCTGAAGGCAGTGCGCCGTCCGTTCAGTCTACGCCTGCTCCGTCACCTGTGATACCTTCCCATCTTCTCGATCCAGGTACATTTTGCGGCACCGACACAACTGACGTTGACGAGTGGCTCGCCTTATACGAGCGCGTCAGCAAGCAATACAGGTGGGATGAGACGCTTATGCTGGCCAACATCATCTTTTACCTGCGAGGTACTGCACGCGCCTGGTACGAGACACATGAGGAAGACCTGATGAGTTGGGACGTGTACTTTTAAATATTCATTCTTCCCGTCAGCAGAGGAAGAGTGGAACAAACTGCCACGTGAATGCGCTAATCTTTCTTCTGCAGATGCGTTTCTTCGAAATGTAGAAAGCCTGTTTTACGAAGAGTAAAAGAAACTTTTGTTTTTTGATGTTTGTGAGTGCCTATGAACACTCTGATCACTGTACCACCTGCTGATACCTCGATGATGTTTTGTGACCTGCCCATGATTTTGTGCAATTGCTTTCATTGTTCAAGTTTTCTTTTCACCAGCATCTTGGGATTCTGTTTTCTTCCGCTCTGTGTGATATTGCCTGGTTTGTACGAGACCGTATGTTTGCCCGCCCACCCTGTATGAGCCTGAGAAAGGCTTACAGTAATAAATAAATAAATAAAAAAAATAACCCCCTGTGCCTGACAACTTGGCCCCAATATCTCTTATTCTGGCTATTGTGCGACAAGAGTTCGCCAACATGGGCGTCTTAGTTCCCCAAAACTCCAGCCACACACAGCAGCCCACAAATCCTTACGCTCACTACCATGCCGCCCCACTTGTTGCTGTTGCCGCGTCGGGCTCGCGGGTCTCATCACGCTACCGAAATTCATCTGAGTGGAGCACACAAGATGATCGACCGATATGCTTCTCTTGCCATCGCGTTGGCCACATTTCCCGCCACTGCCCGGCTGCTGTGCGTCAACACAGCAGGCTAATCTGCTCATGCTCGCCATGCCGGTGCCACCTCACATTATCTTCTGCATTTTGTTTTCTGCCCTGACTGCTGCTTCTACGGAAATGGCCCAACCGTATCTTTCCTGGCACGCCAACGACGATGACGCTGCTTTCGGCCATCCGATGAATTCCTGCATCACACCCAAGTCGCCGGCACTGTTGCTGAATCCGGTTGCTCATCTTAACTGTACCCCATCACCCCTGGCGGCATCATTCGATGCGCGGCTGGAATACCGACTGCCACTGACATCAACTCGGCAAGCTATAAAGGAGCAAGCGCGGCCAGAGACGCTTTGTGGGCCCGGCTGCTGTGCGTCAACACAGCAGACTAATCCACTCATGTTTGCCATGCAGGTTGGTAAAGCACACTGTCTTTTTACTAAGTGGTCAAAAAAACTGCGTCTTGCTGCTGCTGCCGGGCCCGCTTTGCTGCCTTTCCATTGTTGTTCAGTGCTGTGATGTTATCCGCTCGTTGCTGTTGTTGGTGGGTGACATCGAAACAAACCCCGGACCTGATAATCAAGCTGTATTAAACGAACTTAGAAAATATTCTGCAGGTCAAATGTAACTAATTACGGAGATTAAAGACCTGAAGTCTCAGATGAAAACAGTCGACAAAGCTATAGCTGATCTGAGCGTGCGTATGACTGATATCGAAACGCACTACTAAAACCTAGTCCTCTTGCGTTCTGATATAGAAAATATGCAAAGTGTTACTGCTTGCGCAGCACAGACAATCCAGAGGCAAGAAACGGCCATTGATGATGCCGAAAACCATTCCAGGCGTACCAATCTACTTTTTTATAGTATTCCTGAGTCTTCGGGATCAGAGTCGTTCGCGCTTTCAGAGAATATAATCATAGATCACTGTAACAAACATCTGAACATTGCGCTTAATGCGAAAGAAATTGAGCGCGCGCATCGCTTGGGTAATCGTACAACTGGTCGAAACCGCCCCATAATAGTCAAATTCTCTTTTCACAAAACAAAAAAACAAGTCCTTTCCAACGGGCGCAAGTTCAAAGAGGCGGGCTTCATTGTTGGCGAAGATTTCACACGTAATGTCCAAACTGCCCGCAAACACCTAGTTGCTTTTGCAAAAAGCAAATCTGCACCTTATTGTCTGAGCTTTAAAACTCTTTTCATGGGTAGTAAGCGCTATGCTTATGATGAGCGTACAAAGAGTTTAAGAGAGGTGCAATAGCGATTGCCTGGCCGCAAGTCACGCCCCCGAGCTACGGTACCGGAACGAGCTAGCCTTTGCCTTTCCGTGATCTATGCCAACGTACGAAGTTTCATCCCTAAACCCGATATCTTGTCTAGTCTTGTGTTCTCGTCCAACAGCAATTTACTAATAATAATTGAAAAATGGTTGACTGATGCTATTACCGATACCGAGGTACTTACAGATCTGCCGAACTTCTGTCTTTATCGGAAGGATCGCAAGGCCTCACGAGGTGGTGGTGTGCTTATTGCCGTGCATCAGAATTTATCTTGCTCTCTTGTTACCATTGAAACTAACTTAAAAATGATATGAGTAATCTGTCGAGCCTCACCGCAGACAGTCCTTTTGGGCGTTTGCTACTGGCCGCTACATAACATTCCTGATTTCGCACGCGAACTTAATAACATTGTATACGAGCTTAGCAATGAACACCCCAACGCAGATGTCCTGTTTTTGGGGGATTTTAATTTCCCGCAAATAAGCTGGAATAATGATACCGCTTTAATTACAGGGAATGAAGCTGTCATTGATTTCGTTAACGTATGTCATAATCTCAGTCTAACTCAACTTGTCTTGGAGCTCACGCGGGCTACAAAAGATACCTCTAGTATACTCGACCTTATACTAACCAGCCGCCTTGGCAGTCTATCATCATTAACTTACCTCTGCGAAGTAAGCGATCATAAAGTAATACAGGCTGTCTTCACCTTCTAACCGATACGAAAACTACAGTCGGACAAATCTATACATTCATATCACAAGGGGAATTACGAAGCCATTAACAATGAGCTAGGCAACTTCTTTTCAACCTTTGAGGCATTATTCCCAACGCGCACACTTCAGGAGAACTGGACGCTATTCCGAGACAAAAATCAACGAACTCGTAACCAAATATATTCCAAGGCTAACATTACACACGAATCAAAATAAGCCATGGCTCATGAGAGCTCTAAAGACTCTTGAAAATAAGAACAGTTGCTTCCGTTTAGCCACACGTCTTGAAAGCACCGAGGCATGGTCAAACTACTACATGGCAAAGGACAACTACCTGACTGCTGTGTGCACTGCTAAAAAAACATTTTTTAACATTGACCTGCCTCAGCTACTTACTCATAATCCTCGGCAGTTCTGGCGCGTTTTAAATCCCCAGGACACCCGGTCTATCAGTTTAACGAATAGAGAAGGCGCAATAGCGTCGGATGCCGAGTGTGCCGATATCTTCAATGCAGCATTTTTTTCTGTATTTACGAAAGAAACTATCACCCCAGTCGTTCTGGTGCCCACTAACACATCGCAGATGCCACCCATTATCTTTTCTAGTGATGGTATACTGTCAATTATTGAAAAAAGCAAACTGTGCACTTCTTCAGGTGTAGATGAAATCAACTCTAAGATTCTAATGAATACTAAGCACGTATCTTCAGCATGTCTTACCCTGTTATTTTTTGAGTCATTGTCTACAGGTTCCTTACCATGTGATTGGAAAGTGGGAAAGGTCGTTCCAGTCTTCAAAGCAGGTAACAAAGACTCCCCTTTAAACTACTGCCCCATTTCTTTAACTAGTGTCCTTTGCAAAATCATGGAACATGTCATATATTCACACATCATGGCCTTTTTGGGTTCAGTTAATTTCTTTCATCCCTCTCAACATGACTTTCGTAAGGGACTTTCTTGTGAAACACAACTAGCAATTTTCCTCCATGATCTCCATGCTAATCTTGATAACAACATTCAAACAGATGTCATCTTTCTAGACTACTCAAAAGCTTTTTACACTGTACCCCATAATCGTTTACTAATGGAATTATCTGTGTTGAACTTAGATGCTCACGTAATAAAAGAATTCTCAACAAACCATGCCCAGTTTGTCCTTGTAAATAACCACTCATCCAAGCCCCTTCCTGTTACATCTGGCGTTCCCCAAGGCTCGGTTTTAGGACCACTTCTTTCCTAATATATATTAACGATCTACCGCAGCATGTGTCCTGTCCTATTCGTATGTTCGCTGACGATTGCGTAATTTATCATACTGTAACTAACATATCAGACCAAGAATTTCTGCAGAACGATCTTGATAACATACACAACTGGTGGAATCGATGGCAAATGGCTCTGAACGCCAAAAAATGTAAATTTGTTTGTTTCCCAAAGGCACAATTCATTCCTTTCTACTTACACGATCGCAAACATCCCCGTTGAATCTGTTACAACTTACAAGTATTTAGGTGTAACTCTATCTGACGACCTTTCCTGGATTTCACATGCGACTAACGTTATTTCATCAGCAAACAAGACATTAGGATTTTTGAAACGTCACCTCCGTCATGCGCCGCAACAAGTCAAACTTCTCGCGTGCAAATAATTTATCAGACCACAACTAGAATATGCTGCTGCCATCTGGAACTCTCACCAAGCATTTTCATCAGTGCACTTGGAATCAGTACTGAATCGTGCCACAAGATTATTCATTCTTCATATTCATATGATGTCAGTATTTCTCTCTTAAAAGCATAATCAAACTTATCATCCGTCGCTTTCATCGTCGTGTTGCCACGCTTTCTCTTTTTCCACAAAATTCTTTTACAGCTCACTAAAACCGCCCACCTTGAATCTCGCCATCACCAGCACGCACGTCACATCGCCGCTGGCCATCAACTGCAAGTAACCCCGTCCTCGAACATGCACCGTCCATTTAAAGCCTCATTTTTTTCTTCGGGCTGCTAGAGACTGGAACGACCTGCCTCATCATGCTGCTGCCGTACCAAATCATTCCGATTCCTGGACACGTTGCAAACCTGTATCACACCATAGCACCTGCATTCATTGTTCGAATATGTAACCACCCCTTATGTAATACCCCAAATGCGGTTCTTTAAGGTAATAAAATGAAAATAAAAACAGATGGCCTTTCCGGCAACGTTTTCTAGACGTCCACCTACAGGATCGTGGGCAGTATTTGCCACCATCGTTTTGCCGATGACCACCTTCAGGACCTGCCATCTAGTCGTTCGACGCAATGTTCCAAACCATCCTACACCGATGTCGTCACCCAGGGAACCCCGTCCAGGCCGCTCGCCGTCGCCTCAGGGTCACCAGCCCCGCTCCTATCAACGCCGTCACGTCCCCGTCACCGGCGTATTCTGGGCAGTTCTCCGGGGAACTAACAGATGCAGATCCTGGAGGTGGCGCTGCATTGACAACTTGAACCAAAAAAAACCTCTACCAACCACTAAGTCCAGATGAAATTTACTTGGTGTTATTATCGATGGCCTAACCGTTACAGCTCTGATAGACACTGGTTGCCCACACATCCAGTTACGAGTTCACACCTTCGATCCCGCCTGAAAAAATTGTTACTCTTGCTATCTGCCAGTAGCCGACAAAGCCGAACTACAGTTCTTGGTATGTGCACTGCCCACGACACTGTTGCCGGCCTTTACAATTCACGGTCCTCTTTGCTGTTCTAGATGCTTGCTCACACGACGTGTTCTCCGGCATTGACCTTCTTGACCGCTGAATTCAGCCCTCATTGATTGTTTAACCGGTACGTTACAGCTAAGAGTTGCCTTATGTACTCTGATGTCCCTCCTGCAGCTCGCACATGGCTAGCGTCCAAGGAGTGTCTACGATTACCGCCTTAGGCCGCTGTGTACTATTTTTATGTTGCCGTTCCCAACCTGTTCTTGATGGCGACTACTTGGCAGCTCCACTCATTGCCTTGACCCTTTCCCGAACATCATACTTTCTCATACCATAGTGAGGATTAGCGACAACAGATGCTCTTCTCCCTGTCCTCAACTTCTCCATGTCGACCCAGGTCAGTCCTCAAGGTATTACCTTAGCAGAACTTTCCACTCTGGAGCAATGTACAAATTTCATCTGTCACTCCTGACATCAAGACCGTAGCCGAACCTGTGGCAGCCCGCACAGGATAGAGCTTTGCTAGACAAAATGATATCCAACGAGCCTGTCACCATCCCAAAGTTGAATCGCTCCCGTGGTCTTCTATTTTTCTTACCTCGACATTTTTGATATCGACGATCGTTCCATGGTTCGCCACGAGCATCGTAGCCCACCGCTATCGACGCTGGTGACGCCATGTCTTCTCATAAGCGTCCTTACCGTGTGT